GACACCTCTCGGCCGCCAGCACTAACGTACTCAGGCACCTCGTGATGCGGTTCCGCAGGGGCATCTGATTGGCCTGACCACGCCTTTGATTGGTCAGAGCGGAAGAGTGACCACTGCGACCGTTGCTCTCTCTACTTCCGGATGCCTGGATCGCCGTGGCGGTGCATACGCAGAAAACCACCTCACTCTCACTCTTACTTCGTCCGTCGTACCCTCCGGTCGCACTCTTCTCATCGCGCTCTTGCATAAACATTATTTTCTGTGTAACATCTGTACGTAAGCACGTAACACACCACGCCGATAAATAAAATCTCGTCCTAAGGGATCGAAAACAAAATCGGAAGTTTCTTTCCTCCGCACGGAGTCTCATTGGCCCATTCCTTTCTCCGCGGCCCGTTCCTCGCGTTAGTGAGAACGCACCTTAACGCGTCTAGTGTCTAGGGAAAGAAATTCCCAAAATACTAAAGATAAACATAACTGCGCGATGCAACGGAAGCTGTCCCCCCAAATTTTCAGCCTAGCAATGTGTGATGTGTATGGCGCGTCCCTCCTATAGGGTCCCTAGACCACATTATATAATTTCGATTGAAGTGCCATCTAGATAAGAAGCAGCGATAAAGCTGAAAATATTAGAGCTCAAATTAATTAACGCTGGTATCATGGGCTAGATATTATTTAATAATTATTTATGAAATATTATAATATATAACATATTATGGATTTTAAGAGAGAAAAATATACCTATAACAATTCTCTTTTTCATATAAATTAAACAAATCATTTTTTGCTTTGTAAAAAATTAAATATTACATTCTAACCTATTGATACTCATAACAATATAAACAAATATTTTAATATGCCTTACATGTTATACAAAAAACAAATGGTCATTAATAAATTGTATTGATAATTTGTTCATCTTCTTTTAATATTTAGGAAATGCGAGTTGTTTTTACATGGGGTATATGTGAGACCATTTGTGACGAATATCTCAATCATGAATGTTTAAAAAATTACAGTGATGTTCATATAGACGAAAATTATTTTTTTCCACTACTAGGTAAGTTATTAAATATGTTTATACAATTAACTGTGTTAAAATAATTGAAGCGTTGTCATTAACATCATTTTGCAGATGATAAAGTTACAATAGTTCGTCGCGCATTGTTACCGAATGGCACAGAAGGCATTATTTATGAAAAATTATATCCTACGAATGATGAAAATGCAAGTCCCAATACAGGTGAAATATATTTGTAGTTAATTTATAATTTCTATCAAAGAATTTTTGTTTTTGTAAAAAAGAAATGTCTAATATCTGATACTTCGACAAATTTTAATATTGTGAAAGCTTCGCCTACCTCTAATTAAATAGAACGATTTGAAATGATTTAAAACGATTTGAAACAATTAGAGTTGACTAATATGTAAATATACACATAGGGTGGGTCACATCGTTTTATTTAATCAGAGATATTTCTTGTAAATACAAACACTGTTTTAATTAAAATGGTTTATCATAGGTAAAAGTCTAAATACATCAATTAACAAGAAACAAAACAACACTGGCTCTACGGCTAAGCGAGGAAAAAAATTAAACGATGATGAAGTCGAAATTTTACTTTTAGAAATACAATGCAGACAACCGTTATGGAATTTTGAACTTCCTCTTGAGCAGCGAAGTAAAGAAACTGTTGCAGTATTATGGCAAGAAGTATCTCAGACATTGAATAGTAAAAAAAAAAATTATTTTATTAAATATTTGTGTTTAATGTATTCACAAATGAAGTATCTGTGATCAAATTTTACGCTAAAAGTTAGCGTCAAGCG